CACAGATATTATTACTTTAGTATCTACATTTAAGCTACATGGCAAAATGCCCTTTGTGGTCAAGGGAATTGTACTTTACACAGCTGGTAAAGCAAAGCCTGGAGAAGGGTTCGGTTTAGCCTTGAAAAGCCGTGTTTCTGCTGTTCAGCTGAACCACTCTATAGACCCTGTGGGCAACAGCCTGATGTGGCTGATCTTGATCCAAAACATAAAGTCAACACCTAAGTTTAGGTGTCTAAAGTGCTACTTACCTTCATCTGAAAGCTGCATCACACCCAGAGAATTTTAAAGAAGGACACAAGGTGACTGCTGTTTGCTGGAGACAGCAGAACATAAGGTTTTCCTTTAATTTGGTGACCACCATTGCACTGTAGAATGCTATACACTCTATACAATGGGTATGTCGATCATTGGTGGATTAGCTTGCAATGAAAAGCTCTTCTAACAATTACAGGAAGTTCTGCAGCTAACAATATTGTCATTTGAAGCAGTTATCATTAGCTTTTGAATTGAGTGGCACACAAATGCATGAGGGTAGTTTATACTTTACTGAACATTATAATTTGAGTTTCAAAGCACAACTGTATGTTGTTGACATTTTCAGTATTGATGCTTCAGCAAGAAGGGTTTAGAAACTTTTGGGGATAGCTTTTGTATTCTTATAAGTACCATTTCATTTTAACACTACAGAATTGATTAGCGGGTTTTACAAAATTCTTTGAAGATGGAAATTTGAGTTATGTAAATGCTCAGTGTTATTATTATCATTAAACCCACACAAAATACGTAGGAAGGCCATAAATCCTCAAAATGAGCTGATCTGAAATTTCAGACATCGGCATTTTCATTGTGCCATTTCATGAAGGAATACAATTCAGTGAAGGCAGCGTAATACACATACCCACATTGTGAAAACAAAGCTGGTCAAGCTGTTCTCCAGATACAGGATTTCAGTAGCCGGAGCATTGCTGATTAGGGCTGAAGTACAGAGTGAATTCCAGGTTTTTGTCTGTGCTGCAGAGTGTGTCTACAGAATCATTTTAACCTTTCCCACAATGGTCTGCCCTGGCATTTCCCATACGTACACTTAATGTGGTATATGCTAACAGAAGATTTAGGCCATATCATGCATCTACACACACGTGCAAAAGGAGGGGGGTTCAACACCAAAAAATAACATTTCTTATATAAAAAGATATTCAGGGTTAAAAACTATTATAATTCCAAAAGCAGTTGTGCAATATTCAGCAGATACCTGCTGTTCTTTTCAAGAATATGGCTGTGTTTTTTCCCTGGTCATTTTGTTCCTGTCAGTTTGGAAACATAATGTTTAAGTAGAGTATGTCCTGAAGAGGACAAAAACAAAGCTGTATTTTAAACAAAATTAAAAAACATGTGAAGTAATGTGAACCTGTACTTTTGCCATGTGTAAGTGATAGGATTTGCACTGTGATTTAAACATGGAGCACACAAAATACTAATTAAAAAACACTTTGGGTGTCAGCATAGTCAGACATCTTACAAGTTGCACTTTATGGTTTTCTTTTGTTAAATATTACTTCAATGGGGTACTTATAATTAACAGCACAATTTACAATATGTTTAGTCTGCTTTTTAATGCTACATACATGTATTAACACATTGTATTAGCAATTGTAGAAAATATTCTATTTTCCTGGTAGGTATGAACATAATTACTTGCATAACACTTCCAACAATCAGTTCTCTCCTACTTGAACAGGAATAAGTATCCCTCATTGAACCTTGCATGGGAAAATCATTATATTCTTGCTGCAAGTGGTGCTGCTTTCAAATGTATTAAATAGCCAATAAGCAGATAATATGAGAAAAATTGGTAAAAGTGTAACAGGGGACACTTGTATCTACACCTTTGGAGAGTCATGTGGATATTAATGGTTGAATGTTAGATTTACAGTCCTGTCACATGGCAGCCAGTGTAACACTGAGGCCAATCTCACTAGTTATGACCAGGTAGTTCTGTTTTATAAGCACTTCAGATAACAGTGTTTTCTTCTGTATGAATTACACTTTATTGCTATACTGTCAGATTTCATACACTGAAATTTTGGTTATGTGAAATACATTATTTATATTTTTTTTCCCCTCAAATTCATGTCACTCCGTGTTCTGGTATGGGATGATATATTCTTCATTTAAGTTAAAATTTAATCTACCAGTAGCTAGGAAATTTCTAATTTCTTTTGCTTTTCCCATTCAGAAGACAAATATCAATAGACAAATGCATTCCTCCATGGGGTAATGAATACAGGATTAGAAGTTGGAAGTGAAATATGCAGAGAGAGGAATCAACAACGGCAGGTCATATTCAGGCCTGTTTTTCCTTCTGCATAGGCACCTTTCAAGTGATTTAAGGCTTTAGCATTTCTGAACTGAAGTTTTGGAGTATACAACAATGTAAACCATTTCTATTTTTAAAATAGGCATGCAGAAATAGAGTTTAAATTTGAAATGGGTTTTATATTTAAACACAAGTCCTTCTCTGTAAGTTAAACAAAAAACAAAAAACAATTCCAGTTTGATGTTTCTGAAATTGCAGAGGACCATGATGGTATCAGCTGAATACCACTATTTTTCTTTTCCATTTTCCCTATTATAATTACAAGAGGTTAAAAAAAAAAAATAATTGGAAAATTATTTTTTAAAAAAAGATTGATTTATGTTAAATTTTCTTAGATTTCTTCTAGTTGCCTTGTTGGGTTTTTTAATGTTGTTGTTTTATTTCTTTCCACTGTGACTGAATGTGAATGGGAGTTGTGGTTTATAAGTCAGGACTAGCGGACATGAAAAGAAGAATTAGGCTGAAGTGTAACTCAGGGCATGTAAATGAACCAGTGAACCAAGAGTGCAAATTGTACTGGCAGTTGAAGGAAGTTCAACTGGTTAGTTGTATCTGGTATCCTTCGTCAATACCTGTGGGATTTTGGGGGAAAACAGGTCTGTCTGTGCCATCCTCCCATTCCCTTCTTTTGTTACAGCAAACAATTTGCTTGGGACTCAGTCTGATGAAGGCACTTAAATTTAGTTGTTCACATACCAGATCAGGGCTGCATTCATGCACTTGTCACAGTCATCTTGGTAATTTGAATTATCACAGACTCTGGGATGCCAGCATGGGGCTGGCAAATGTGACAAGAACCTACAAGAGTCCTTGGCCAGCAGCTGGATTGCCTCGGGATATCAGGTGGCCATAGCTGTCTATGTTTCAGCAGCTGAATCTAGGATGGGTATCCAGGCGCCCAAAAAAGACCTAAACAGTGAAGTGTCTATAGAGTGACTCCTTTCATGCTAGGACACATCAACTGGTGTGGCAGCTTTGGTGTTGCTCTGTGGACTCTGCTGATGTACAGCTCCCTGGACCCTGCACACACAGCTGGCAGGTGCTGCAGGCACCTAATTCTGATGTCTTTAACTACATCCTGAATCCCACCCTTTGTGTATCCCCTTTCTTCTTGGACAATCTAATCTTGAATGAAGATAGGTTTAAAATTTAAAAAAATGTCAGTTTTACCTAACATTATGGCTTTTCTATTTTCAAAAGAGGCAAGGTTTCAAAAGTAGTCTACTTGGAGTAGGCTGCTCTTGTGAAAAGTCAGTGAACAAGCTGTCTTTGGAGATGGCACGTGACAGAGGTGCTCAGAGCTTTACTCTGAATGGATGGATGCTGTCACACTGTGTAGCTGTGGCTGCATTAGATGAAAAAGGAGCACATTTTACTAATGGAAGGGAGAAGACAGCTGAGTGCTTCATTTTGCAGTGGTGACAGAGAATTAAATTGGTCTGGGGAGACAATGTTGGAGAGAGAGGTGGATTTTTTCAGTTTACTGTGCATGTGTTGTGCAATACATGAAATTTTCTAAAATGCCAAAGAAACTTGAAGCCCAGATCAAATTTTAGTAATAGCTTGGTGTGCTTTTATAAATATAACCTGTCCTCAATTTGTGTTTGTCAAATTCCTAAATGTCATCTGCTTTCATCTGTCACGTTTTTGTCATACAACTAAACAAGTGCACCTAGATACCAAACCTAGTACAGCATCGCCTTTCATTTGTTACTTTAACATAAGGCACATGTTGTTACTTTCTGAGAAGAAACTGCCTTCTTTTGAGAGGTGCCAGATTCAGTTTGTTTACATTTTGAACAAAACATTCACATTTTAAATGATTCATACAATAATCTACTTCTGTTGTTTACTGCATGCATACATGCAGAAATACATATCATAGATTCATAGGATCATTTAGGTTGGAAAAAAACTTTAAGATCATCAAGTCCAACCATCAGCCTAACTCTACCAACTCCACCACGAAACTATATCCCTACAAGCCACATGTACACATCTTTGAAATACCTCCAAGGATGGTGACACAACCACCTACCTGGGAAGCCTGTTATGGCATTGCACCCTGGGCAGAGCTCGACAACCCTTCAATTAAGAATTTTTTCCTAATATCCAATCTAAATATGTATGTGTCCTGCTCTTACTAAGTTTTTAATTCTGAAAGAAGTATGATTTTTGTGGTATTGGGCCAAAGAAAGTACATTGAAGTCCTTTTCTAAAAAGAGGCATTAGAACCGTTAAATTGGTTTTGATGGAGTACAGTATGATACTAATCTTGTCAGGCCATTGTCAGGTTCAGTGGTAGCACAGACATTCTCAGATCCATAAAACAATGGGTGGACTCTGTTCACCAACTACTATGACTAGTCCTTATTTAATTTAATAATGAAAAACAAGACAGTGGATAATCATAATTCTTCCTTAAGACCAGTGTTGTCTGTAGTATTGCTTTGATTTAGACTTCAGTATTTCTGAGGTAAACCTGAGACTCCATGGCAAACTGAATCCGGAAACACTTCAGTGGTTCTCATTAAGATGGGCTACCTAAAGTGTCTTCTAACGGCTGCTTTCAAATGACTTTGGGGGGGAAATTAGTTTCAGCCTTCTTTTAATTTTTCAGAATTCAAGCAAAAACTCGAGAATTTCGAGAGAGACAAGCTCGTGAACGGGACTATGCAGAGATTCAGGATTTTAACCGGACGTTTGGCTGTGATGCAGACTCAATGTATGCTGGGATTGCTTCCTATGACTCTTCTTCAAATAGCGGCACGATAACGTTGAGCAGCCGGCCACAGAGCCCAAGGGAAGGGCAGACAGTGGAAGCCTTGTATGCCCAAGTGAAGAAACCACGGAATTCGAAGTCTTCACCTGTAGACAGGTAGGCACCAGACATCAATCAATGCACTCTTTCAAAATTTGCCCTGGTAATGCTTTGGTTATGGGAGAAGTCAGAACTGCATTTTTATTAATGGCTTTTTAAAAGCCTTTATATAGAGAAGTAATGAGCTCATACAAACCAAACTAACAGAATGGGACATGAAAGCTGTTTTCTGCAGAGCACCTTCTTCTCTTCTCATTTTTCATATGGTTTGGAACTTTGGAATCACGGTTTGGTATCATTCAAATTAAATTCAAACTTATAGCATCATCTGGTTTATTTATCAGACTAACTAATATGATTGTGGAAAAAAACATTTTCAACCTATTCACAGCAGTTACAAAATCTCTGGGAAATTCTTGTTGTTAAAGCAAAAGTAGGTTAAAGCTTACCTGGATTCTAGTCCTAGTGTAGTCCTGAACTTCAGTCAAAAAGGTAGAGCTTTTTTGTTAAATATAGACCAAGGGAGTAAACTTCAACCTTGACTCATGAGTTACGTTCTATTCTTGGACTGTAGTGTATGAATTATACTATTCCTGTGGTTACATTATCTGAACTGTGTCATTCTTGGTTTTGTGCTGAACCTGGGCAAAACTGCACTTCCTCTGGATGGAGTTTTGAGTTCATTTGAAAACCTGAAGCTAAAACAGGCATGCAAACTAACATAAAGTAGAAATAAACAAAGGCAAAACTCACAGGGGTTTTTTGTACTTTAACAATGAAAATACATCCGTTTTCTTGGCTTACATCTATGATCTTGTAGTTCTGCATTTTTACAGCTTTACAAAAACTAACATAAAAATCCTAGTGCAGGGGGTATAATTAACTCAGAGGTTATTAATTAAGTTAATTGTAAAAACACTTGTTATTTTGTTTTCTACCGCATTCTTTCCAGGAGGAAAATACTGGATTTCCAGTTAAATCAGCAAAGCAGTGTCTTTGGTTACAGTGTTTGGACCTTGTGCTCTGTGTGAGCACTGGCTTTCATCTTGCATGTGTTATTCTAGGTGGTGACAGTGTCTTTTGCATTTGGTCTAAGGAAGGTAGCTGTTATGCCGAGAGCAGCTAATTGTATAAAACTCTTATTAAGCGAGGACTGAGGCTGTTGTGTTTAATCCTTCACCAAATCTACTTTGAAAAGTTCATTTTCATAATACTAGTAAAAACATATCCTCTAACATGACAAATAGTGAGATTTCTGCTGCCTTGTCAAATGCATACATTGTATTCAGTAGCATAACTGCCTTTTTAATTTCTCAATTTCACTATTCTGCTGTATTTCACTGTGTAAGAGGTTTACTTTTCATATTAAATAACAAATGTGTGTATTGTGGATACGTACATATTCCAGCGAAGGAAGAAAAATAATTTTAAAAGATGACAGTTTCCTCTGTGCCCTTGAAATTTTATAATCCATAGCCTTATACTGACTGGCGGTGGTATGCCCAGGTGCCTGACATTTCAGCACTTTTGTGCCTTTGGAAATCAAGAGAGCTTGGTTGGATATAGCTGCCATGTGGTGACTCTCACGGGTGTTTTTGTAGACCAAAGGCAGTGTTTCATGCCTGAATTGAATGGCATCAATGTCACATCAACAAAAAAATGTTCTTTGATGCAAACCCAGCACGGTGAAATATAAGACCTGCATGACCTAGCTAACTCTGTGTGATTGCTGATAAAAGAGCTGGGAGAGAGCGAGTAAAACGACAGATAACGGAGTACTGGAGGAATCTGATGTTAATCATAAGGGTAGGACTGAAGAGGTAGTTAGGCACATTCTGGCTGCTCCTGGCTCACAGAGGGTCCTGTCTCTCACAGCTGGATCATGCTGTGAAAAAAGGAAAGACCCAACATGCACAATGGGCTCGAGACTATGAATTAGGCAAGAAAAACCACCCCAAGTCCCATAATAAAGGGAGGATACATTTTGGCCAGAAACATCCAGAAAGAAATAGGTAATTGAGATGGAAAAAGGTTATTATGTGATGTAAGTGTCCTTTGAGGAACCTGTTCAGGGGTCTGAGGCATGAAGCTGGTGACTCCCACATGGCTCCAGGAGATCTTCTGGGGAACACTGCAGCAACTTGTGCAATGTCAGACTCAAATTTAATTCTCCCAGAAGTCAGGTCTGTACCTTGTGCTCACAGCTGACAGAATGTGTCACCTGCTTGAGGCATGGAGAAGATCCAATAGCTGTGAGCAGCTTTCAGTCTTCCTTGAAGTATGTGGGGGACATCCATGTTCAGCAGCAGAGCCTGGATCATGGCTGACTTGTCCTTCCAGGGCTGCTCTCTGTTTTACAGATTTTATTTTAGATATATTAAGAAAGTACCACCTCAGAATCATTATAAGAAATAGTTGTGGCTATGTAGGCCTGAGATGCTTTTTACCTGAGTTGTCTCCCGATCTGTAGGATATGGGGATCCTCATCCCATGTGCATTGCAATTTGTTCCTTGCTGTCCCTTTACAGCAGTGAGACTTTCCCCCTTCACTTGACATCTCCTGTGATACCCCTTTTCAGACCAAGTGCCCAAGTTCCTCTTCACGAGGCTCTTCTTCAGGGACCTTTCTTGTCTGCAGTCTGATTTATCCTGGTAATATGAAAAATTTGAGAAGAAATAGTTGGTTGCAGTTGTACACCCTTTAATATTGTTTACATCAGCATTCACCTGCAGTGAACACCCTGTATTTTACTCCTTTGCCCTGCCATCCTTTCCTTTACTCTGGACATTTCAGAGTTTACCTAAATGGAAAAAGTCTCTTCCAGGCTTTTTGGATAGGAAGGGAAATAACTTGCAATGTCCTGAGCTGCCACAAGCTGGTAACAGCCAGGCTGTCTCAAATCTTTAGCACATTCATATTAAAAGCAGCATTGTTTATATGGGAAATGTTATTTCTATTACAGTTTGGTGGTTAGTGCCAAACAAAATTTGACATTTAAGAATGTCCAAAAGGTTATTTAAAAGTCTCTTACAAAGAAGCCTATAACAAAATGTCCCATAATAGTTTGCATACCAATGCTGAACACTTATGACAATTTTTTCCTTAACTTACTGTGCCTGTGTGAGGCCTTGTCAGGGTTTGTTTTTCTGTTAATATTCCTTCAACTTCTGTCTTATTTTCATCAACACATGCCACCAACAGATGTAAGTTTAACTGTTTCATGGCTTATAAATGATAACAAAATGGAGGACAAGTATGTAAACTGCTCATCAGAATAATGGACAATATTTTTTTTTGTTTTCTGCAAGTTTAAGGATATTGTTAGGACAACTATTACAGTGCTTCACCAAATGATGGTTCTGTCAAGTTGTCAGGCAGAGTTCCCTAAGTTATTTCATCACCCAACTTGAAACCAGTGTTAAAAACAGACCTGTTTCTTCATTCTCCTTCTTGGATGTATTTTATATTTGCATGTATCCTAAGCAGTGCAATTGTGGACAGATAGTACAAAAAAGTAAGAAAAATATGGTTATTCCTTAAATAGTTTGTCAATTCATTTATTTAAGTTAGGGAGTGGATTGTATAGTGCAAAGAACAGAGATTTTTAACTTACTCATTGGAGACTTGCACATCAGTATGTGTGTGTAAGTGATACTGCTTTGCCCATTCTACCAACAAGGGCTACTAACCCCCCTTTAAACAGTAACTTTTGCTCAAAAATATCCTTAAAGGGCTTGAAGCTGTTTTGCAATTGCTTTAATGCAGATTAATGCTGGGCCAGATTTAAATCACTGATGGATATTGGTGGGGGTTGGGGATGTGGTAGTGTTTGTTTGGTTTGTTTTTTTCAGAGGTAGTTGTTATCTCTTAAATAAATAGTTGAAAAAAGGGGGGTTCTTTATTTTGAGCTTCTTATGTAATCCATGCATGCAAGTAGCTCCTGTGAATCTGTAAAACACATTTTAAATTCCAGTTTTGCCACTCATAGCAAGTCTCTCCAGTAGCATTAGGAAAAAGTTGCTTTATGTTCTTGATCCTAGAGAAAGTAGTTTCTCTTTCTTAACAGAAGGGGAGTTTATTGCTCAGAAGAAATGAAGCTCTAGCAATAGATAGGTAGATAGATAAATAGATAGGTAGATAGATAGATAGATAGATAGATAGATAGATAGATAGATAGATAGATAGATAAAATAGGATGGGAGTGACTGGTGATCAGTATAGCTGCATATGCGTCAGCTGCCCTGGTGACGTTAGCTCCATCTTTTGTATTGATAGCTCACAGAGACCAGCTGCTAAGAAGATTTTCACTTCTTCTGTTAGGCATTAAGAAAGTGAAATGTATAATCTATGTTTATTTTATAGTTCAGAAAAGAAGCATCTTGAGAACTGTGTTCCTGTGGATAAAGCTTTTAGCTTAGCTGAAAAATGTCTCTTGTGTGTTTCGCATCATACAGAAGAGAAGCTGCACTACTCATCACTAGTGTTTTTCAAGTAGATGACAATGATGCTATACAGTGGGGTTTTATAGCCATCACCTGACATCCATAGCTGAGCAGTATGTGGAAAGACAACTCCTAATGGACGTTTACTGGCTGTCACTGTGTAATCATTTCCCACCAAGAATGCATTGTCCTGAGATATAATTGAAATAAAATAGGCACTGTGCTGCTGTAAATCTAAATAGCTTGAAAATAGTAGGCTAGACTCCCACAGCTTGCTGAGGACATTTTAATGGAAACATAAATACCATAATCATATGCTTTTTGCATGCATTTTGCCATTAAAAAGAAAATATGTTCATTTTAGAAGGGAGACCTCTACGAAGTGGTTTATTTTCTATCAGAAGTGGAATCAAGTTATGTCAAAGGAATATTTGGAAACTGAAAATGTTTTTAAGGTCAGGCCACATACTTTGCTTGCTGCTTTTCCAAAAAGGAAATTTTATTTAGATGTTTTATTTAGATGTTAACTTTTATTTGCTCGGTCTTATCTTTTTGCTTAAATGAACCCTGGAAACTGGAAAGAAACATTCTAATATAATACGGGAATACGTAAA